CGATTGAGAGACTAGGTACTTCAGTAATTGCTTGCGGTTTTCTCAATATTTAAAAAAAATGGACGTTATCGATCTTGGTAGGTGTGGACATAATATAATTTTATTAATAAAACTTATAATTTTCAAGATTATAAATAAATTTGTGGCTTTAAATTTTAAAAAAGAAGTCTTTAAATTTATAGTACACTGGAAAAAAACACATTGGATCTAGAATCCAGACTCTTAAAAACATCGACAAGAAAAAGTACTCTTGATTCAATCAGAATCTAGCTTAAATCAAGAACCAAGCCTCTTAATTTAAGCGGTTTTCATTTTGATTCAAGCAAAAATCCGATTGAATCAAAAGAGTATTTTTTTTTTTGGTCAATATTTTCAAGAGTCTGGACTCTAGATCTAATGTGTTTTTTTTTTCCAATGTGTAATTAGATTGAATTTCTTTTACCAGGAACTTAATTAATTAAAATGTATAATACTTTACTTCTAAAATTCCATTCGACTGTTATTATTTAACTATTGCACTATTCCATGCACGGTAAAAAAATAAAATTGAACGATTCTCAGCAAGGACGGCAACAGTACCAGATAGTCCCAAAAGGGGTCGTTTCAGGCAGAAACCGCGTTCTCCGCTGTGAAGGTTCATTGAAGTTACGCTGTTTTTGCTCGAAGGCTCGTCCCTCACCTCAGTTCCTCCAGCGACACCCCTTCTCTTCTGCAGAGATATCTGGTGTAGTGCGGTTTGCGTCGTGTCGCTCGCTAGGTGCAGGAAGCAGGCGGAAACGCGATAACAAGAAAAGGCAGTTTCCGGGAACGGCACCCGGCCTCAATACTGCCGTGCTAAGGAAGAACGCCGTATGAGCATTCAGACGTTGCCATATTTCCTTCAATTAAAATCTAACTTACTGGGAAAATCGTCAAAATTTTGCTTCCATTTTTTCAGACAATTTTGTTTGCAATTTTATCTAAAATGCCTGAAAATTTCAACGGAAAATACGCACATTTGTCTTCAAAAATAAATGTTTTATCCGGGACAATTTGGCAACTCTCGAATGTTCATACGGCGTTCTTCCTTAGCACGGCAGAATACGATCCGCGCCTCAGGAGTGCTCACGACGCTCCGCTCGCCAAGATGCCGGTTAGGGCTTCCACTATTCTGCCATGATAGCGAAGAGAGCAGTAAGTGCAAACGTGAAGTTTTGAGAAAACGGGCACAGAAGCTTTTTACCGGAATTTTTATTTTTTAAAAAAAAACCCTCCGTTCTCTGACAAATTGCCACTAATCGTCCGAAACACTTCTAGAAATCATTTGGATTGCCTCTGTCACACTATCAAAACACCCTCATCAAAATGTCGTTAAAAGCGTACGGTTGCACGCTTTTGAAGAGTTAGTGAGCTCTGATTGGTTCCTGAACAGAAACGGGCATGCGCAGAGCGCTGCCCTTGACGTTTTGACACGTTTTGATGGAACGCTTTGATAGTGTGACACAGGCAAATTATTAAAAATTGACTGATTTTGTTTCAATTAAATAAAAAGGTATTTTTCATTTTCATGATAGGTAATTGTTAGGCAAAATAGCCGTAAGTGATACCTTCTGCATGCTTTCGTGGTTGCGATTTGCACACACAACAAAGGCATTTTCAGGTATGAAATTGACAGAAGAGGACGGCACTTTACCTCGTCTCACCGAGTGAGCACTGTGATCATTGGGTCGCTGGAGGAATTTTGTCACTTACTGCTGTCTTGCCTGAAACTACGTTATTTTTTGTGCTCTAACGGCGCTCTCATATGTCTCGTTTTCATGAAAATAGGATGAATTTTGCTGTTTTAGCTATTTCAGTAACTTAATCCAAAGAGATTTGACGAGTTTTGAAGGAGACTCGATTTCGAAAATTTGATCCCTACTGCTTTCTTCGCTATCACGTCAGTCCTGAACGTTTTCCTGCCAATCGAAACTAAAAACAAATGAGAAAGATGTGAGTGTGCTCCATAGAAAACTGGATAAGGAATAATGTTAAAGTGGGCGCGTTTCCCTTTAAAGAAATGGAAAAGCGGAATTTTACATTTTGTCAAATGGAACTATGTGCACGGAGAAAAAAATCTTGTGCGTGGGACCCGAAGTTTAGGTCATATGGATCTCTGAAGTTTTCAGATTGAGCATCCGAACACTTAAGGTCCAGCTGCTGAGGTTCGAATCGCACATCTGAAACTTCAGTTCTTACATCTGAAGTACTTCGGTTTTCACATCCGAAAAACTTCGGTTCTCACATCTGAAGTACTTCAGATGTAGAAACTAAAGTTTCAGATGTGTGATCCAGACCTCGACAGCTGACCTAAAGTGTTCAGATGCTCAATCTGAAAACTTCAGAGATCCATATGACCTAAACTTCGGGTCACTCGCACGAATTTTTTTCTCCATGTGCCAACTGAATGCGGCACTCATGAGCCATGGGCATGTGACAAGAGTCTTGTAGACAGGGCTCATGAGCTGTATACTAAAAAAATTGTTCCACGAAAAATATTTGCATCACGTTTGTCGTGATCCGCACACAGCAGAACCGGACGTTTTTTACATGCCTCTACAAACGAGACGTAAAACCGCAATATTCTCCCGCAGCCGACAACGACGGTTGCGCCGGCTCGCAACCCGTGAAATCCACACTGGAATCTGATGCCTTCGCGGTCGCATTTCCGTTTCCGCTTTTCTTATCCTGGCCGACGTTGCCACTTCGCAGGCGCTCCGCAAAACACACCATAAGGCACGTGGATTACGACGCGAAATCTGGCGGCTGCGCACCCCCGCTCCCCGGTTTCCCACGGGAGAGGGCAGGAAAACGGCGTTGTTTGACGAAACCACCGTGCATCCGTCGGTTCCCCATAATCGGGGTTCGCGCTGTTCTGACTCCTTGCATCCGCGCCCTCTTCGAATAATTCAGTTTTCTAAATGCGCTTCCTATTTGCGATCATGAAAATATTGTCGCGGTCCGATGTCGACGTTGCACATTTTCACTGAACACTGGAAAAAAAAAAACACATTGGATCTGGAGTCTAGACTCTTAAAAACATCAATAAGAAAAAAGACTCTTGATTCAATCAGAATCTAGCTTAAATCAGGAATCAAGCCTCTTAATTTCAGCGGATTTCGTTTTGATTCAAGCAAAAATCCCATCGAATCAAGAGTATTTTTTCTTGTCAATGTTTTCAAGAGTCTGGACTCCAGATCCAATGTGCTTTTTTTTCTAGTGAAGTACCGATATAGGGAGAGTGCGGACGTGTCGAAATATGGAGCTCTTAGGGCCCAGAAGGGCAGCCAACCCTTTTTACCGTAATTCTTCAGATTGCGATATCAAACCAATATGACCAAAAATGTTCAAAAATGAGAGTTCTCCCGCAAAAATGAGTAAATTTATGATAGATTGATTCATAATCTGAATTCTATGGCATTTCTTATAAGTATTTGCGAGGCTTGAAGGTCAGGTTAGAGTATTCATATAGGGAGAGTACAGAGTTTTCGAAAGATGGAGCTTTTAGGGCCCAAAAGGGCCCTAAAAGCTCCTGCAATCCTCTAACACAAAAAATGTTACTGGCACCCTCCAGACTCCAATATCAAACCAAGATGACCAAAAATGAACACAAATGAGTGTTTTCCCGGAAAATGACCTAAACCCCTTGTTCCTTTATGTAAAAACTAAGTCAAATGCTTGTTTCACAAACGACGGGTCATAGCAATTGTGATGATGAATCGCACTGGATAATTTGAATTCAAAGTTTGGCTGCTTCTTTGGCATTGATATAGAATAAAAAGACTAATGTCAACAGAAGCGCTATCCACCGCCATTTTTATGTGGAAGAGGAATTTTTGGCTCTCTGGAGGACTTACGGCTGTTTTGCCTGAAACTATGTCATTTTTTGGGCAGTTGCAGTTTTCTAATAAGTCTCGTATTCATACAGCTAAGATGAATTTTGCAGTTTTAGCTATTTCAAGGATTTCATCTGAAAGAGATCAGCCGAATTTTGAAGGAAACTCGATTTCGAAAATTTGACACTTCCTGCTCTCTTTGCTATCACGGCAGTATTGTATATACCAGATTCAATATTCAGAGGAGGATCTGTAGATGGTGGTATCGGATTTAGTAATATCCTTTTGCAGAAAACTCTCGCCGAGATTCGTATTAGTAAAGCATGAGCCCTAGCCCCTGTCCCTTCATACTATGAGTTAACACAACCCCCTCCCCCTCATTGAGTCACAAACGGGAATAAAGATTACTTAAATTGACAGTTTTTCGTGATCTTTGATCGGCTTATTCTCAAATTCCTCTCTCCATTCCTTCTCTCATTCCGTTTGTTTCTTGCCGAACCGGTAATTCCCTGGTCCATTGCAGATTATAATCTCTTCAACTGGTGAAATTTTAATCTGCGTCCTCGTTTGTGACACTGTGGAGGCAACGAACTACACCTCTAGAATGGCCGCGAGATAGCAAACCTGCGTAACGCGCATGGGCCGGTTTTTGAAGGCAGGAGGGGGGGTGGGAGCCCAAGTATAGCTAACCTCAATCTCCATTTCTGCTGCGTCTTGCCCATAAGGATTACGTGTGAAAATTTCAACCTTTGTAAACTGTCATTTTTTTGAGGTTTTCTTTCAAAGTTCCTATTTTTTGAGTGAAGAAAACCTTTTGAGGTGCGATTGTTCAGCAATTTTTTCATTGCTATCATTTTATTCAACAATATTCGGCAAAATGTGGGCAGCGTCTGACATGGGTTTAGATGGCAGCCTGCTGTGTGAGCCCAAGTAAATCTAACCTATATCAACTTCAAAACGTTCCGGGTCTCTAACACTGGTCAGCCATTCTAGAGGTGTAGTTCGTTGTGTGGAGGTCTGAAATACGGTAACCAATCAGAAACGGATTCTCATTGTCTTAACTCTCAGTATAAAGGGACTCTGATGAAACCGCGATGCTTGCAGTAGGCGCGGGTACGTGACGAAACGAGTAGAGAGAGGACTCACCCTGAAATATATCGTAGACGGAGAAGCGCAAATTGACTCTGTGTTGAAATCCTAAATATACTAAGGCACGTGCAGCGTGGTGCTTGACGTATCGGGCGTACTTGGTGCTGTGGTTGGTGTAGTACCACTCGTCCGAGGGCAGGAGCAGCTGGCTCAGCACGTCCGGGAGCCCCTGCTCCGTCAGCTGCCAGTGGTGCCCCGGCTCCATCGCCAGAGTCGAGGCGATCTGCAGCACCAGCACCAGGAGTTGCTGTCCAAACCAACAAACACATCAGCACTCTTGCATTCAAAATCGAATCATTGACAATAAGCAAATTTTATTTCTTGATCGGACCAACGATCTAGAAACTATAGATAGGGGGATCCTATGCTAATAGTGAAATTCGTAACACACCAGGAGCAACAATGGAGATGTCGCATGTCGACGGTGAAACTACCGAACCACGTATCTCGGTTTGCGACGTCGCAGACTTCCTGTCACACTTTATTTTTTAAATGAGAAACTACTTAACGTCCAGTCTTGAAAATTTCTGTGATTTTTCCTCTTCGTGTGGAGAAAATTCTGTGAAAATTTCAAGGACTGATATTGATTTGGTCTACTTCAAAAAAATAAATTGCGAGCGTAGATTTTTAAACACCGCAAACGAGATACGTGGTTTGGTAGTTTCACCGTCGATGTGTGAGGAATTTGCGATTTGACTAGTTCTTAGAGACAGTTCTTACATCTGAAGCATCTGAACACTTTAGGTCCAGCTGCTGAGGTTCGGATCACACATTTGAAACTTCAGTTCTTACATCTGAAGTACTTCAGATGTGAGAACCGAAGTTTTTCGGATGTGAGAACCGAAGTTCTTCGGATGTGAGAACCAAAGTACTTCAGATGTAAGAACTGAAGTTTCAGGTGTGTGATCCAGACCTCAGCAGCTGAACCTAAAGTGTTCAGATGCTCAATCCGAAAACTTCAGAGATGCATATGACCTAAACTTCGGGTCCCACGCATGAAGTTTTTTCTCCGTGTAATCCCGGCAAAAATGGAAGATAGAACATTTTTTTCTGCCCTATAATGTCAATGCTGTACGCACTAACCGAATAATTGTTACCTATGAACTAACATTGCGAAGTAACATTATATAGCTACGACTTGAAAAGTGGGTGAAACCTGAAATCTACCATGAGCATAGGTAAGAGAAACGATTCTTATTCATTGGGGTGTATCCTTTGAGCTAAAATTCGATCAAATTTTGTTGTTTCCTAATAACATGATTTTGTTGATTCTTAATAAACTCAGTCCGAAAAGCATACAGTTAAACTGACTCAAAATTTCCTTACAGGGTCGTTGGTTGAGTCCAAGGCAGAGGCAAGAATTTTGAGCTGAGGTTCTTGAACCAAGGTCGTTTGTACGGTAAGGCTTCCGACCATAAAGAGCAGTGCTCGGGCGGACAACAGTTGCAAACAATGGTAATTACAGTGTCGCCATCTGAAAGAATGAAACAGAACCACATTAGGTATAAAACTAAACCTCCTGCTAAAAATAACCGTTGAGGATATTACAATTTCAATATTCAATTGTGAAAGTCCTTACGGGTAAAATTATCGCAAACTATGGTTAACGTTCACTCGAGTTCTTCTACTGTATACAATAACGGATACGACCAGTGACGATTCCTGAAAGTTGGCAGCACTGTTTTTCCTCCCTTTAAATATTTGTAAAATAATCGATTTTTGGTGGGGAAGCTTGCCTCGGCTTAAATCGATATTTTCAATGGATTTAAATCGAAGAAAAACAGCGTTGACACCTTGCAAAATTGCCACCGAACACGACTCGTTTGCATAAAGCAATCCAACTTTTAAAGAGACTTAAAAATACGAAATATATGAAAGTATTCAACTTGCATATTACGTCACGTGATTTATTTTCCTAGTTTCGGGTTTTTTTTTTTTAAAATTCTTTTTCATGTGGATTTTTTTTCAACTGTACGCAGCGAACCTCGGCCGCATATTAGAGCTAGAGCGCGTCGAAACATTGATTTTTTGAGGTTTCTCCCGTGATCAATCATAATGGTATGCATCGGATAGCAGCGTCCGGGCTGCACGTTTGATGGATCGGATGATCGAGAATTGCAGATTAGATGCGACCAGTGGGGGGAGGAGGTGAGTGGTGAGGGGGAGGGGGAGGCTCACTCACCTTTGGCTGGGCGTGCACTGCTGTTTGCTGCCGATCACCCGCTTGTAGAGCGTCAGCGAATTATGCAGAATGTTCAGCACCGACAGAGCGTGCTCGTTTGACAGAACGTCTGAAACAGGAGGGAAAATAAAAAGCATGATTAAAAAAAGCGCGGTGAAATTTCACGCACGTTTCAGGAACACGAAGCTCCATACTGCCGTGTTAAGGCAGAACGCCGTAAGAACATTCGACAGTTGACAAATTTCCTCCGATGGAATGTCTATTTCTTAGGAAAGCTATGGATATATTCCCTTGAAATTTTCAGGAACTTTAGGTTAAATAGCGAACAAAATTATCTGAAAATTGCATGAGATATGTTTTCTGATTTTCCCGAAAATTCGTGATTTACCGAAAGAAATTTGGCAGCACTTGAAGGCTCATACGGCGTTTTTCTTTAACACGGCAGCATAGTATGGAGATGTTGAAGGCAAGCACGGAGTGCGAAACACGAACGGAGGCTTCGAGTGCCTTCATTTCCGGGAGGATACTTCACGCGTATCCGTGAAGTTAAGATAGTTGCATGATCCGAATAACCCGATCATGACCGATATGTTGATTAATCAGGTAAGCTGAGGGACGAATTTATGTTGAAATACAGGGGACGCCGTTTTAGTAGCTCCCACACGATGTTGAATTTTCATTGATAAAATACGAATTCCAGAACAAATTGTGGATTATTTTTACCAATTTTGTAGGAAATTTTATTCACGATAAAGTGGAGCATCTAAAAATCTCAAAGAAAATACTCATACTTTTCTTCAAAAGTAATGGATACAATAGTATTGTAATGTTCAATTGGAATTTTGCAGTATTCGAATGTTCATACGTAAATATTGTTTCTAGAACTGCAGCATTCGTCTCTTTTCGAACAATTCCTTGTCCTGAAAAAGTCCCCGTTTGGTTTACATTGGTATTAAAGAAATCTTCGGAAGATATTTAATACAAAAACACATTTTCGTTGCATGAATCGTAATGTACGTGAAATTTTGGTTGAATAACTCGTATGAGATTGTTTAAAGTCGTAGCTTGTCTTCATTTGGTCCATTCTAAGCGCAGATAATATGGATTGCATTCAGGGCCGGATTTATATACTTGCCGCCCATGGGCCGCCTGCATTTTGCCGCTCCTCCTCATTTGTTTTGAAGCAGCGACACAAAAAATCAAGTGAACGTGCCGGAGGAGGAGGGGTGCATAAGACGCATTTACTCGTATTGGGCACATTTTTTGTGAAAACCCAGTCATCACTAGCAAAAGTTCACAGAACTTTGCGCGAAAATTAAGTTCCGTAAAAATATCTCTGTGTGGACGAGGCCTTTCATTTTTAAGAAAAGAACGGAAAAATTATGAAAGAATAAACATGAATGTGGTTTAATGATTTTAATTTCCGCCACCACGCCAACCGCACTGTGTTTGGCGCAATGCGTGAAGTATTCCTGCATTCTTGTAGGCGCTATGCGTTTCACGCCGACCGCTGCTACCGCACTGTTTTTGACGCAATGCGTGAAGTATCCATGCAATCTTGTAGGCACTATGAATTTCACGCGAACCGCTGCCGACCGCACTACCTTTGACGCAATGCGTGAAGTATTCATGGAGTCTTGTAGGCGATAATATGTGTTACATGCCGACCGTCACGCCGAGGGCTTCTCTTTTCCATCTCAAGTCCTCGTCATCATTGCTCTCTACGCCGCGCCGCTCCAGGCCAAATTGCGTGTTTGGTTTCTCTCTCAACTTGACTAATAAAAGGTGATGTCTCTTGTATCACCGAAAGACGAACAAATTAAAAATTACTATACTTTAACTCTCAGGAAATGAGAGATTTTTTTGCCTTTTCTCGTCTGTATTAATTTTTTTTTTTTATTTTTTTTAATAAGATATTTTTCTTGATACCTACTTTTGAAAAAATTACAACATTTGCCGCCCATTCTCAAATTCCTTTCTCCGTTCCTTCTCTCATTGCGTTTGTTCCTTGCCGAACCCGTAACTCCCTGGCCCATTCCAGATTATAATCTTTGCAATTGGGGCAAATGTAATCTTTATTCCCGTTTGTGACACCGTGGAGGCCTAAAATACGAGACCCAATCAGAAATGGATTCACATTGTCTTGACTCTCAGTTTAAAGGGACTCTAGTTGTTTCTGTTTTAAACTGGTATTTATGTATTCGTGGTCGAAAATCCAGCTTCTTTTTAATTTCAGCATTATACTTATTGTGTTTTCTGGTGTGATGCGTTCCTGTAACCGTCTTTCTAGTAGGTGTTTAGAATTTTGGATTGCCTTGCATGAGTAAAATGTGTGTTCGGGGGTGTCTATACTGTTACTAGAATTGAGTTGTCTTAACTCCGGGTACAAAGGGGCTCTAGCTAGATGCAATCCATAAAAGAGATGGTATGTGGAAGACTGGCAACGTCGAGTGTAAGCTGTCGTATAGGACGCTTCCTCGGCGTCGCGGTGCGGGCCTTCAATTTTTTATGGGCGCCGGTGTCGGAGCCCGGTATTACAATGAAAGCGAGAGGCGCTCATGAGCCGGAAACAAGTGCTCATATCCGCGACGACGCCGACATTTTCCGCCTGATGAGTTTTCGGCTCATCGCCGCCCCGAGTCCCGAGGAGGATCTCCCCGCCGCCGCGCTCTCGAAATAGGTCGCCTTGCGCCCTGAAAAATTGATCAGGTCCCGGAAACACGAAATTCGGTTCTCCTTTCGGATTTGATGGTCTGGTTCCTTCGAAAAAGTACTGCCAGTTAAGACGCTATTATCGGAGACAATGAACCACTAGACAAGGTACAAATTTCAGCATTCTGATACATGTTTCTTAGCCAAAATTTTACGTAAAAGACGATGCGCACAACAAAAATTACCGAAATCAACTCCTTCCAAAGATATTTAATGTTTCTTGATGCGTGAATTCAAACCGCCCGCTCATGAAAACTCAATGCTCTACGTGATTCATATCGCGCGCTAAACGTTATCATCACAGTCTCTGCGTTAAAAAAATTTGGCAACCTCAATCTTGACATTTTGGCTCAGATGTTGCAAATTTCTCATAGTTTGAACAAAACATGGTGGGAAATGAACATTGCTCGATTGGAAAGCTTGATAGAACCGTTTTAGTGCGCGATTTGACTCACGTAGAGCTTTGAGTTTCTTGTGATAGTCCAGGTTCTTATGTACTCCCGTGGAACGGTAAGTGAAGCAAGTGTGGAAAATATCTTAATCTCTTCATTTCGATGCGTAAAAAAAGAATTTTGATGTTGTCAAGCTCAATTTTGCGTTTAACCCCCCAAAATCAAGATGGCGGCTAAAATGGGGGCTCGGGGGGTGAAAATTATGGAATTTGATTTTGATGTCATGATAGGGGTCAATTCTTATGTAATTTTGGTCGCAGAATCCGAATTTGAGGTCCAAAATACTCTCCGACCCAAAGGGATACCCCAAATCCAAGATGGCCGCCAAAATCTCCAAGATAGGGTCAAAACTGCGATAGGTATGTAAAACTGCCGAGTAGGGTGTCCTTGGTAGGGTTCTTTGGGTCGTAGATTTCACCTATGATGTCAAAAACTTACCACGGATCCATTGAAGCCCAAAAAAATCAAAATGGCGGCCAAAAGGGCTGCCGTTGCGGAGTGAAATATTTTGTTGAGGCAAATATCGTCGAATGAGGTGTCACTGTATAGGTTTTTTGGGTCGTAGATTCCAAAAATAAGGTCCAAATAACAAAATAAGCTACTAGAAGTTCTCCAAAAGCCAAAATGGCGGCCATAATGGCTGCCGCCGAGGCATTGGACGTGTTTGAACAGTAGGGTGCCCCATTTTGGACGTTAAAAAGAAAAAATTGCGAAATCCAACAGAGATACTTGCTAAAAAGTTGTCTCATAGTTAGAAAAAAAAGCACAAAAAAATCTCAGGGTCGTAGCTAAAGGTTGAGTGGTCCCGCAAGGTACTTAA